TGAGATATTTATAATAAAAAGCGTCGAATGACAACTAATCACGAGCTGTCGTCGAACAGCAAATTTATATTTCATCAAGGTCCGAGACAAAAGTAAGCGAAACGATAACAACAAGAAATGAAAGGACGTTGAAGCGAAATGACATGGTATGAATTAAAACGCGAAAATCATCGACGATCCATAGGAAAATGGTCGGTGGCCGTTGGTGGAATCAGCGAGCATCAAACGGAATCGCATCAGCCGTTGGATCGAATCGAATCGAATCGAATGACAGGAAGCGTTAGTGAATTTCCGTGATCGGGCTCGCGCGCCTCGCCGCGACGGGAGCGTCGCCCTCAAAGAGCGTCGGCAATTAATTTTACAAGGGCGCAAAAAGGAAGCAAAAAGCGAGAGGAAGCGGCCCGTGGCCGAGTAGACTCGGTCCTCGCGACGATGGGTTTTTATCTGCGCGAGTTGTCAGCCCAACGAGTTCTCCGCCTCGTTGCCTGACCACTGGCGTATAATGTCCACCGTCAATATAAGCTGTCGGATGCTTTTTCCTAAATTGACAGATTTTCAATTTAATCAAGTTCCAATCTAATGGAAAAATGCCCGATCTATCGGCCGGGCGAGGCTATGTACGCGAGGCTATATAGCTACCGATGCCCGCGCTCAATGTACGCCAAACGACGGAGGGGGCCAGATTGAAATAATACTTTTATGTTTAATCACAATCGAAGAGTCCGCTCCAACGATTCTGCGCACCCGCACGCCGATCTCCGAGATTAATCTATTGATAAGCATTCCATCACTCCGGGAATAGCAAGCGAGAGAAATAGACGAGCCGTCCACCGACGGGATATCACCCTTCTCACCTCTTCCCTTTTTCCATCCCCTACAACCCAGTCGCCCTTTCTATTTCTATCTTTTTTTTTTTAACACTCACGTTCCCTTCTTTTTTTTTTTTCAAAGCGACCCTTTGACCACTGGTGTCGCGAGTTCCAATTTAAAAATCACAATCAATTGGAAATCTTGGAAGAGGAGAAATGTAACCTTGACCAGAGAAGGCGCACAATCGAAGGGTCGCCAGTAATTGTGAAAGTCGATCGAAACCCGATTGACTCGGTGAAATGAAGCAGCTAGGTAATGAGATCCGAGCGCGAACCCGGCCGGTTTGCTGCGCCAGCATCCCTCGTTTACCTTCAATCACTTTCTTGACAGATGCATTTACGGTCCAGGTCTGCTGGCCATCAAGGCGGAATGCGCCTTAAGGCCCTCCTCTCTGTAGCTTATCGATCCATCGAGTGCTCGGTGAATCCGCAATCCTAACGCAAAACTATGCCTCTCCTCGAGTGCGCTGCATCTAGGCTGACGCTTTTCTGGCAAAAGTCACGAGGATCCCTCTTCTCTATCGCGTATTCTCCTCGAGATCGTGGAACGGCATTCGTGACGATGCATATATAGTAGATTGGTACCGAGCCTCGAAGGTACTCGATGCATCTCGCGTCTCGACGCGATGCGTCTCTATTTATTTTAACTCGTTCGACGCGCTCGCGGGGCTTCACGAGTGGGCGAGAAATTGGATTTCTGCGATACTAATCGGTTTAGATGAATTTTTACACGTGTCTCTACTTCTTCTTCTTCGTTTTTCGCCGGTGATTTCAATGCCTCTGAATATTCGAAAAGGTGAATGCGCCAGACGAAAAACTAATTACCACTTCTCATCGTGAAACTTCAAATTTTGAATATCTTACGGAGACGAGGACGAAGCGACAGGGTTCGAACTCGAGAAGAATCCTCGAGTGAAACGAAGCACAATGTTTCAACGAGACAATGCGAAGAAGTGTGAAGGCGTGATGACCATGAATAAAACCGTGACCGATAGCAGTGAATTGTGATTGCTCCTCGCCGGGTTTTTTATGGTTTCTAATTGTCGATCATCGTGCGTACACGGTCCTTCGGCTTTTCAATCGGCAGAGAGGCTTGGTTTAGTCACGAACGGCCTCGTGCGTCTAACGAAATCCTTGAAGGACTGCCATGCCTTTGTGTCCGTGTACTTATTAGCCTTACTGGACATCCATTATTCTCGCGGGAAGAAGATATTCCGCAATTAAGAGGAACGGCTAATGGCATTGAGAGGATCGTTAAGAATGCGCCGCTCAAAGGTCCGATAATTTATGATCATTGAATAGAGAAGTTCGATCGATAGCCATTCTATGTGGGTAGAGTTTTTCTCATGAAAATTGCTGGATAATCGACAGTATCAATCGTAGAAAATACAAACAATTCATAAAAGATAATGAATTGTCCAGCAAATTAATTTGAAGCTCAATGTTGGAAGAAGATTGCGTGTATCAAAATTGTCACCCCAGTGAACATTTCAAAAGAAGCATAAAAGAAACTTTCAAAGAGAAAGTTTTCAAAGGTGCTGAAGGGAGAAGCGAGAGGAGAGGAGGCAAGTTACAAGCATCTTTGACATGTTAATACCGATAAATAAGAAAGATCGCAGTGCACGGACGATCACAATTTTTTCCTCGGCTTTTCATATTTCATCTACCTAACCCAGCCAACGCTAGGGAACACCGGGGACATTATTATGTATGCTGTAGCCCTGTTAAGCAGAGGCATTTCTTTTTGCAGCCTCCGCTATGATACATCCTAGAGTTCTTTTGCGCGTAAATTGCATGCTCCCTCCTCAGACACGGGCTAGCCCATGGCATTAAGTCCATGCGTGGACTACGGCTCCACGATGGATCCTGTGTTTGCCGAGGGGATAATAGTGTAATGGATGGACAGGAACAGCGTACCAACGGATGAGACTGCTGTTTTCGAGACTCTAGTCTCCAGTCTGCCGCCTCGCCTCTCTTCTAGTACACTATTATTCTCTTTTGTCGGCTAATTGGCATCATTGTTGTGCATTGTCGGACGGTCGAATTGTTCGTTCCTGATGCGCGAATCAACCGCGCCACGCGGAACACGGAGAGGATAAAAACGAAAAAAAAAAAAAGAGTACCTTTTGTCGAACTTTAATAATACACCCGCGTGAATGCTCGACCGATTAAGATTACAGGCGACATTAACGCTCTTCTGCTGACCATCGCGCTCGGTTATTTCGTTCTTTTCAACGAAATTCGTTTCGTAACTGGAACTGGACTATCGTCGGGTTAAAATCGTATGAAATTTTGGTCGAGGTTAAATTTAAAATGGCAATAATTTGGAATAAATTAAAGGGACCTTACGTCAGTCGGTGAAAAAAGATACGCTTCGAATTTGCCTATCAATACGAATTACACTCCTAACGATTACAATCAACGCCTAAATAATTCCTCGTTTACGCTCCGAACAAAAGAGCTCGTTAACAGACCTCCCATAAATACTAATTTCGCGCTTAACACGCGAGCTACTTCCTTCGCTTCCAACATACGGAACATCTAGCCGATCTAGATCCATATAGTCGTTGCAGCTTTTACTTTCTCACCTGACGATTACGATGAGCAATCATCATCGTGGTATTAGACGTGTAAATTAATCCAGTGTCTTTTTAACAGTAGAAAGATAAGAAAACTCGCTTGGTCGAAATGGAAGAAAATTAATTTACTTATGTATTCACTTACTCGGATGCAAATATCGAACAGCTTCACCTGAGAAGTTCACGTTTCTCTTTTTAATCGATACCAAGAAACGATACAGCACAGATTACATGCTGATAAATGATCATCGAAATCGTCCCGACGGAAGGGGTCGTGTAAACTGTGATTAGACTTAACTCGGTCGCTGGAACGCGGAAGCGTATCGTGCAAACGCTTAGGCAAATGTCGTGTGTACGCGCGTAGAAGTCGCATACCAGCGTGTAACCCGTTAGAAACTTTGACATTCTATCTGTAAGATTTTCCCACGACTACAGATCCGCTAACGGGAGCAGCCTTTTCTGGCAAATTCTGGTAATAAGCCGAGCCGAGTCGAGCCCGACTGCCTCTCGCTTTAAAACGCTCCAATGACCATGCGCCAAGTATGGAGATTAGATTGGCATAATGGCCACTTATGCGTTCCCGATAACACGGCTTTGTCTTTTTTCCCCACGCGAATCGAGGATTATAGAAAGCGGTCTTGGTTTCGTGAAATCATGCTCGATCTATGATTTCTAATGATTTTTTTAAAAAGAAATTATCGTGAATTATTGTGCCCGATATTCGAGCAGCAACGTCTCAATACGATGTTTGAAGAAAGAATATTAACTGTACATTGACCCCATCATTCATATGGAAGTGATTCGATACGCTTTGTTTTCTACGTTAATCGTATACAGGTCAGAGAGAGACCATCGGCCGAATTAGGCTTGGACGCGACGCAGCAGCTACTTAAGCGGACAATTGGTTGTCATTGACACACAAAACCGTTGCTAACGAGTGTGACAATCGTTTCGACAAAGGGGCTTTCTTATTAACCATCCGAATCGACGCGCATTTACCGAGGATCCCTCGAGTTCGATTTCGTACCCTTGATCGTGAACTATAAATCATTAAAGAATCGTGACCAAAAATATTCTTTTGATACTAAATAGACATCCAATCAAATTGAAAAACGATCGTCGAAAAATAAAAAATTATTGCTAAATATTATATATAACTGAGCGATTGAAATGATTAATTTCATATTTTACTGAAATTACATCAACGATCTAGCTATAGCTTGCCTAACAGATATCAAATTTCCCGAAGAACCCCTTGGTTCGTTGTGTAATTAACAAACACTGGATTAATCAGTGAAGTAATCGCTTTTGATCAATCAATTCGAATTTCTACTAAAAATCCATTTTCTATTAATTGGATAGAGAAATTCAATTAAAATTAACTGAAAATACGCGACCGAATGGTTTCCACGAGCCAAGGGTCACCAATAATATCTCGGTTTCATCGTCTAATTAACGTACACGGGGTCGAACGATGAAGCGGCTGTATCCGGCCGATTAGAATGATTCTTAATCGATCGTTGGATTAATCCATAGAGATTCATTGACTTACCTCGCTCTTCAAATTCAATGGCACGTCGCAGGGCGCGTCCAACTCGGCTTCCGTGTTCACCTGATGAGACAGCATGCTGTGGCTGTGCCTGGGCGGTACGGCGGTCGCCAACATGTTGGGATGCTGCAGATGCTGAAGACGAGGTTGGAGATGGGGCTGGTGGTGATAAGGCGGCGACAATTGGGTGTTCAGAGTGCGAAGATCAGCTGGCGGGGAAGCGGGTGCAGCGGTACTGCTCTGTTCCTCCTCGGCCGAACCCTCCGCCATGTCAGCCTTGCATCCCGGGGACTCGTAATCTGCAAATCGACCAAAACTCTCTAAGGACCGATCTAATAGTTGAAATCGCCGCGTGCCGACCTACAGTACCCTGCAATTCCATAATGGCTTGAATACAATTTCTCTACGCGGATAGAACGATGACGTGAAACGTCCTGAAATTCAATGACAAATTTCGTTTCATACCAAAGAACGATCATTAATCGTTAATGAAAATTACATTAAAACTGATATCGGCGGGATGATAATAATAATTGAACGATACCACCCAAAGAGGATCGATAGGATTTCAAATCGTCCTCGGCATTAACCCGAGGGTGACATGAAAGGGCAGAGCGACACGCATAAACACGATACTAATTAAACGCGTCTCTCCCGTCGGCCGTATCGAAGCGTGCTGCGTGCAGCTGTTAAGAATGCAGACAGTGGAAATTAGAAGGAGGCCCCCGTTCATCTTCCGACTTCAAAGCAAAAACATTTGGTCGATGGCATCGGGTCGGAGATACCCGGGGGAGAGAAGCAAGAATCCCGTTGCTTCAAGAATAAAAGCGTTTGGGAACCGGGCGCCACTTACAGACACCTCGCATTCATCAGGCTAATTATTTTTATCTATGGGGACGGTTAGTAAGAATTCAAGGGCAATGAGATCATCCCTGTACCTCTGCTTGTGGTAACCAAGGTCTCTATATTTTTAGAATTTCTCTATTAAATCGAATAAAATGAATGAAACGATAACAGTGATTTTAGAAGATAATAAATTTTTAATGTTCAACCTATCTCCTTCCCCTGACTCCTCTCGATCAAGCTTTCATCCTCTCGCTTTCTTTTTTTCCTCCGGGCCAGAGGTCGGCGAGATCCATCGTCGAAGCCCGCGGTTCGTGTACTTGCTGAACGCAACTAACAACATCTGCTTCTATTTTTGCGCTGGCCCGAGTCCAGCGCTTCACTTTTTTAAAAGCCGTACGCCTATGACGAACGGCTGGATGGATCATCGAGCGGAAGCCTGGGTTAGAGGAAGAGAGCGAGAGAGAGAAAGAGAGAGAGAGCAGCCGGTTATTCTGGACAAATTATTGTCAAAGGGCGCACCGTCAGCCCACCAACTACTTTGTTCCTCGAGAAAAGCCTTTTATAATGGTCGCCCTCTAAATATTAGGGTTTTCGAAAATAGAAAAAAAAAAAAAAAAAAAAACGTCGTTCATGATAAAGGTTGTACGAGTTTGCAACGACCTACGGTCGAGGCATGGATCGCGATCATCGAGATTCACCGTTAGGAAGTATGTAGGGCCTCGACACGTTATTCCAGCCTACGTAACCGTGTAATTACAGCAGTTTTGCGTCTCGTTATCGTACGGAATTAGCGGGTATTGCATCGTACGTGAGAATTCTTGGAAATCTATCGGTGTCGGTTAATTAGCGACGAGAGATGCGATCCGACGACGGTTTCGCTGAGAAATTATTCCAAAGTGTCGGTGTAAGAAACTGTATAATTCGAGAGGAAAAATTATTACCAATCTTTAAAGCGAGCCTGTTAACCGCTGTTAAAAAGAATTAGAAGTTGATGAAGGGAAAGAAATTTCCCGCTTTCAACGTGTAAAATCAAAGTAACAAGCAAAGCAAAGCAAACAGTTAACGTGTACGCTTAAAAGGAAGTAAATTGCTCGCGTCTTAAGCGATCCTCTCATTTCGAAGGACTGCTTGTCGACGATCGAGTGGCCAGTCGAGCATCCCGACGAACGAGCCTCCCTTTTTTCCGTTTGCGGTCGTTAATTTCCGTTGGAATCATATTAATCGCTCTAGGGCTGCGCCCGTGAAATTACTAGACGCTTTAACCACCGGCTGTCCGGGACCGAATTCGTCCGCAACGATTATTATATCGCATCCTGAGGTATAATGCTGGGTATTCCGAAAGCTAGCCAATTAGTATCGTCGATTTGGATGCTTTAATGAGAGCGCGGTTTCATTAGCGTATCGCATCGTCCCTCTCGTTCCCGATCGTGATACGTGAAACGGAAGGAGAATCCCTCGTACCCAGCTCGAAGAAATCGGCAATGATTATAACCGTGATCGTTCAAGTGTCATTGAGGCTTAATATTTGAAAATTGCTACCCTCCAAGCAGCCTGTTCGAGAGGCGTTTCGTTTCTACCACGGCTTTGGCAATGGATTAATCATCGTCGAATCCGATAACCTTCCATTTTACCGATTACACGTGTCAATTCGTTTGCACGTAATTGCACGTTCGGTTTGTATCATGATAATTGATAGGGATTAGTTGGGTACTATGATAAAATAAATCTTTTGACGAGGGTTGGAATTTCCGAGAAATTCTTCAGATTTCAAAGTCATTTCAAGTTAAAATGTTTCTAAAGAATTGTTATCATTCTTTAAAGTCTAAAAAATCATATTTTTCTTCCAATTTAAGTCCTTGCTCTGATAAGCAAAGTGGTTAAGATTGATTTAATTACCAAAGAAGAACCAATTACACCTCTAAGGATACAAATTAAAAAAAAATCAATCGCTCTAGCAGATGTCTCGTCTTCCAAGTGGAATGCAGCTGAAGCAACACGCGAGATACGGAAGTCCGTCGGTCAATTTTCTCGGGAAAATCGAGGCTCGCGGTTCTTTTCATCGAGAAACGAGTATCCGCTTTCACCGAGCGCATCCTAGCATGTCTCCACGAGCGATAATTGCTGACGGGATCAGCCGGTGAAAGTCCACGTAATCGAATATGCAATTAAAACACACCGGGACCATTGATACGAGGATCGTTCGAGTGTCTAGGGAGGCAATTAAAACGCGTGCATTATGCGACCAGCCGTCACGAGACTCCTCTCCACCCGCACCCTTCTACGTTCACATTTTCCACGATCGGAGACGTTTAACCACTAAAAGCCACCCTCGGGCTGATTTCGTACCCCGACCACCACCGCGTGTATCACCGACTTTCATCCCGTCCACTTAACCTTCCCCCTTTCTTCGACGTTTCTTCTTCTCGCTTCGGGGCCGAGTATCGTGTTTTCGCATTATCATCGTGCCCCGTTTATACCCGTGCTCGACTTGCCGAAGAAGAAGAAGGAGGAGGAGGTGGGGGATGACCGACGAAGAAGAGAGGCAACACAACGTCAGCGACGCCGCCAGCAGCAGCGTACAATTAAGGGGGTTGATTGATGTTAATTCAAAGGGTAATTAAGAATGTTGCGCATAAAAATCCGGTAATTTATGGTCATTGGGGATAATTATATGTTGACCAGCTTGTAATTGCAAGCGTTCCGTGGCCTACAACACCGCGTATAAGCGTCCGGGAATTGCGGGTAGCTCCTTCTCTTCGAATGGCCGACCTGGTGTGCCTACAGGGTGTCCATACTAAATTTCGAACACCCTTTTATTTCCCATAATATTCAAGATATTGAAGAAATATTTATATGAAAATCTTATAATACAAAAAGGAAAATTTTCCAAAATTACGTTCTAAGATAAGAAATTCAAATGAAATAAAACATTTAGAATTTTAATTATCTGATCAGGAGAAGATAAATAATAAAATAATGAGAAAGGATCTTAAAATCAAATCTAAAGAGTATCTACCTCTTGTACCACAATTGCAGTACTAAAACAATTTTCACGAACACCCTGTACGTGTGCACACTTTGGACTCGGCTTCTTCCCGAGTCTGTGTGTGCGTGCGGGTGGGATATACGGTCTCAGATCGCAGCTTATTATAGGGGCTAGTAGATAAGGTGGGTTTAGAAACAACCGTACGCCTCTGGCCAGCAGCTAGTTTCCACATAGTCCTGACTGTTTCTCTTTCCTTCTAACACGCGAACGGGATGTCTCCGTTTCTCTCTCGCCCCTCGGGCTACACCGAGGTGCGCGTAAACCGCCCAAAGTCCGGGGCATCGATTTATGAGGCCGATTCCCGTGGCCGGCAACGGACTCGCACGGGGCGGTTTTAGAATTTTAGGCTCGGTCCAGTTAGCCGCGAAAACGAAGCCGAATGCCGCGTTGCTCTTGCAAACGAAACGCTATAAATAACCGGGCCTCGGATAATCGCCATATGGCACCACCATGACGCGGACTACCCGCGCCATCGTAGACGTTGGCCCATTTTAACCGAGACTTCGATTTCGTGCCATTGAATACGCGTCCGCTTCCGGACGAGCGGAAACAGAAGTCATTCGGAGACACGAAATTGGCGGGAAGTTCCTTACTTCGAGATTAAGTTGAATAAAATGAATCGTGTTCCCACGAGTTCAACAGAAATTAAGCATCGCTCTCGCTTTCCACTCGAGACAGCAATTTCAACGTTACCTGCAGGATACAGAGCGAAATGAACGCCGATATCTTTGGACAGTTGAAAACAGGGGTTCGAAACGTTGGACGAAGGTACAAGGCCGTCTGCGAGGGGGTAGAAGAAAAAGAAAAGGTTCACGTGAGAGGGAGAGAAAGTAGGAGAAGACAGCATGGGTAGCCCTCCTACTTGAAACACGGCCAATAAAATGATCCCAGCGGGACCAGTTGGCAACCGCCCATCGCGACATTGTCCTTGCCGACTCCTTTTTCTTTTTTTTCACGATCCCGTAATCAATCGACCAGTCTAATGGCAACGCATAATCGCGGCTTTGTGGCGCCTAACCGTGCTGGTAATGCTAAAGAGAACGAGCTGAAAGCAAGCTGAAGTGCGCGAACACCGATTCGCTCGGACGGGAATCGACAAAAGCCGTTGCCAAAATTGAAGGAGTTCGTTGTTATAAGTTCTCGTACGATTAATATACGCGTGATCGTTCATGTTCCAGCGGTATAAACCGTTGGAAACGAGGTCCTCCTTTGAACAGGTAGGATGGTATCGAGTGATTCGAATTAATCTTTAACGGTGAACGTATGTAAGCGAGGCGGCTAAGTGGCGGGCCAAGGTAATGGTCGTTTCGTGCGATACCATTCCGTCAGAAATCCGAGGGGCTTTGTCCCGAGTCACGAAACGCAAGGATTAAACTGAACAGCGACCCGTTAACGCGACTGTTCGACCGCCTCGACGAGGATACCGACTCTTCGTCCACTCCGCGTTACGCAACGAACCTTTGATTCCACTTGCGTCCATAAATCGTCTCACGAATCAGATCGGAATCTCTGTTTATGGTCCAAGATTCAAGAACCATCAAGGTCTCGCTACGCGACATTAAGATTCTCCTCTGATCAGGGTGAATTTGAAACTTTGGTAGATGTTATCCGATACCAAAAGGCTATTCATAATTTCATAAATTTGTGAATTTTCAATTGCCCCGATGCGAATAAAATTTACGTCCTTTGACACCTCGTTCGGATTCGAATCGGAATAATTCAGGCCGAGGTGGTAGGTGGTGTAACGGGGCGTAAAATTTTGCCACAAAGGATGGAAATGACGATGGAACACGCGAATGCGTAGGCGAACAGAAAGCATACTCGAAGGCGCAGGAAGAATATTTCATGTTTTACGGCGCCAGCGTGGTTGGGGTTGCGCCCGGACAAAAAAAGTGTCAGCCCGCCGGCTAAATCAGAGCGTGAGTGCATTAAACTCCGAATTACCACAAATAGAACCTTAACCGCACATGCCCATTATAATGGTACCCCCTGCTGAAGATGTATTTACGTACTAAACCGCCTTCGCGGCTCACGCTGAGTCGTTTCGTATTAACATCTGGCCCAAAGACGAGCTTGCTCCCGGTTCATTGGACCCCTTTTATTTCCTCTTTTTTTTTTCTCCCTCATCTAACGGGATTAACCGTCCTACTCGAACACCGCCGCCACTTATCAGTCGATCGAACCGGAAAATGGTCGAATTTGAAGCGCTAAGTAGCCGTATGTCCTTTTAACGAGTCAAGTAGCTTCAAGCCGCAATTTTTTTTTTCATTGGAAGGTGGAAATTAAAAATAAGGCTAAACGGTTAGAGAGGGAAAGAGAAGAAGGATAATTAAATAGGAGGGTCAGAAATATAAGTCAAGCATTATCTAGCTGAGGAAACGATTCTATTATCCGAGAAGAAGAGGCAAGAGGCAAAGGGAACGGGTGGCGTAAAATATGTGCGGAGGACGGGACCATTCTTCGAGGAATTTAAATTCTTCTTGGGGACCCTTTTCCCGGCGAGAAGAAGTCCTCAATAGGGCGGCGAGGCACGGAAATCTCGGGAGTGCTTTTACACGCAAATTAGCTCTATTAGGAGCATCGAGCGTACAAAAACACTCGTGCCGTAGCATCGGTTTGTCCCTCGACGCGTAATCCTCCCCGCCCCGTTACGCACGTGCGTGCTTCTTTATGAATTATTAGAATTAATGACACCGCACGCATCGTCTCGCGCTATGGGGCGTCACGTCGTCCAATTGCGTGCGGGAACGGGGGATCCGTTTGAAAAGGAAAAAAGGAACAGATCGAACTGCAATGGGCTCCCTTTTCCGTTCCTTATCCGCTCCCTTTTCCTCCTCTCTGCCCATTCAAAGAACCACTTACTCGAAACGTGTAATTGTACTTACGTGACGGCACAATGTCACGTGCAATTGTACTTGAATCGTTTCATCAATGCGCGACAATAAGCTTCGAGGGGCTTTTTTACTGCTTTAAATGAAAGGAGGGTCGTGAAATTTTTATATTCCTTAATCTTGAACTTTAAATTTAAATAGCGAAAGGGTTAAGAATCATTCCTGTATCATTTTGAAAATACCGTTTTCGTGTAGAGAGGAGGATTATCAAAGAAGCGATAAAGAGGAAGAAATTAGAATGAATGGAACACAAGGAGGGACACGTTAGGTCGATGAATACACGCGATATCGCGTTCGATCGCGAAACGGTGGCGGGCACTTGCCGATTCACATTTGACTCTCGAAGACGACGGCGTAACTTACTTAACGGCGGTGATTCGTGAGTCGATAATCGATGGAAGGGCGCCGGATGGAAAATAGAGAAGCAAGGCTACAAAGCGAGCTGGAAGTGGGTAAGTTGTCGAGCGAAATGTTATCGCGCGCCGGATCGTCGGCAGGGGTTGAATCGGGTAAAAGGGAGTTGAATGGGGCTGCAAACGGGGGTTGACGAGCCGAGGGAGAAGGAGAAGAGAGACAGAGGATAAACGCGGAGGAACGAGGAGAAATTGTGGAAGGATTTAAGAAGGGGGGAAAAGCATCGATTACTTTTCTTGACCTGGACAATATTCGTGTTCTCCGCTACCTATTATCCACCGAATGCCCGCAAAACCGTACGTTTTATTTGCACTTTTCCGATTCTTTTCAAAGCTACCAGGATATTTCTGTATACTGCCATACGGACATGAATATGTATTTATTGACCGAGGTGTTTCTTTTTATCCTTGTTTCTCTTTTTCACCAAAAGATGATCGTGTAATTTTAAAACTGACACAAGCGCTCTCGAGGATCAATTTGAAAAATTGAAATTCGCAAAATTTGCAAACTATAAAAAAATGCAAAGGAAAGATATTGTTCGATTGGTTGTATCAGAATACCTCGAAGAAAGTAAACAGGACGAAAAGGATTTCGCAATCCCGAAGAAAAGCGTCGGTTTTCTTTCTCAGCGACGCTCGAAACGAGCGTCCCGACGATACCTCGAGTCGAGTGCTTCCTTTGGGATTTTCCGCCTTCGACTCTCCATCAACCACCACTTTTCTCCTCTCTTTCTCTGTTTCCCGTCCCGTAAAGCGACCGCCTCTCCTTTCAAGCAACCCTCTCTTTCACCATAGTCCCGAGGTGGCAAGCAAAGAACTCTCCTACCCTCTGGTTGCTCGCACTGATTTTCTACCCTCCGCTGCCCCTTTCCTCACCGCACACCGCCACCTCCTCCGCCTCCACCTCGTGCTACTATCCGCCCTCGACCCCCGGCAACGTCACTCGTAGTCACGCTGCCAACACGTGCTCCTGTTTACCTCTCCAATCACATGGTACGGGGTCGTGGCGTAGTTCACTGACGGTGTCATTTCATCGAAAATATCTGACGCGCGTGTGCGAGCTGGGTTAATTGGATTCATGACGAGTGCATGCGTGTTCGACACGCACTTCGTGCCCGTACGCGCGCTCGAAGGGGATGATTCCGCTGATGATTCCGATCGGCCGGTATCCGCGGTTCTTTTCGAGTGATTCCGACTGTTTACTGGATATCGAGGTGAAACGTGCGGATGGATAAATTGGTGTTTGATCATTTTCATTGAGATATGCGTTTTTATCGCGGATATTTCACTTTTTATCAGAGAATTTTCATGATTTTTCGAAATATGCGAATTTCATCTGTTAGTGGATTCTGATGTTGTTTGAGTTATTCATAGTGGATTAAATAAATTTGTGGAGGTTTCTAAAGAGATTTTAGAAGACTTTGAAACATTTTTTGATACCAGATATCTTGCTTCAAATTGAATAGAAAATGCGAAATAAGAAAGAAGAATTTTATATAAAAGTTACCGTTTCAATTCTCTTTGTAACAGAATTCCCAAGAACACATTGTAAAAGGGAACGCATTAAGAAAGATCCACGATCACTTTGCATTTACCTGCACGATCCTTCAATTAGCATTTTCAGGTCACACTCGACGCGGACACGTTCGCGATCGCGCATAATTATCACCCTAATTATTGGAACGCAGCTAAGTAGCCGCGGGGAATTATCGCCGAGCTTCGGGCGTACCTTTCGCATGGAACCCAAAGCCTGTTTCAATCTCTCGCTAGGCAACATTCCCGCGTGGCCAGGCCCCGGAGTAACTTTCTTAATTACAGAGATTAACTTCATGCTATCGGGGCAACGATTATCGCTCGCGAGCCTCGCAATTGCCAGCCAGATATAAATACACGCCGCCTTGGCGTACAAAATTTTGATGGAAACACTTCTTTTACTTTCCTAACAACACCCGACAATCTACAATTTATTGTTCAGATCTAGCAAGAAAGTTTATCCTCAGATCAGATCAAATATGTTCCTTTAAAAAATGATTTTTAATATCAATGATATGCAAATAATGGAGTCTTGATATAAATTTAAGCCGTAAATGACAAAATTATATCACTCAGCAATTGGAGTTAGAGAAAATAAGAATAATTTAGAACAAAGTTGCCATTACATTGGCGATATAAAATAATGAAGGAAAAGCTCTAATTAAGAAGTTACATTATCTGCTTAATAATTACTATTACTCTGTCTGATTATAGATATCTATTTCCACTCAGATAACTAACCCATTAAGGAACATTTTTGGACTAATCCTGAAATCTTAACGGGTTTGATCTCGAGAACAAAATTCATTTCTAATTAACTCCCTTTTTGTAATTATAACAATTGAAATTATTGTAAGATAGCAAAGTAAAAGCTTGAATTGAAAAGCTTAATCGTTACTATTATAGAATACGTTTGATTATATGGATTCATTTCCACCACGGTAATTTTCTACCAATTCTGAAACTTTGACGAATCTCATCTCAGAAATACAATTTCCTCGAACATATATGGACCATCTATCTAATTAAGATTAATTCTCCTGCTGGTAATGATGAATGAATAAAAGTTGACGATTGACATTACTCACCTGAAGCGACCTGCAGCTGATGTACGTGGGACGTCGTCCTGACGTAGGTTGACTCGACTGCCGTTTATTTATTCAGCTCGATGCCACTAGCTGTTCGATCGAACCGAAACTCGTGTTCTCGGTGTCACCGAACAGTCTGTTCTCGACAGTTCTCGCTTGCCAGCGAACTATTCGATCGCGTTTCGTCCCTTTTCAAGTGCCAGCACTTTCCCGTGTTTCACCTCCTTTCTTTTCCACGATCACCAGGTAATTTTCCAGCAACTGGTTACGACGACACGGAACAGACCGGATGGTGACGGTGGACCGACGTCGACGGACAGACGATTCACAAATACATCGACCGCTGGTGACATCAGCCTACATAATTACGCCGGGTAATTGCGAGTAATTAGGAGCGATTAAGCAGCAAACTGTTAATTGCTCGAGACCTGATAATAACGTCACTCGATTCTTCGATCGTTCTCGTCTGACGGCACCCGGAAGAGAACGACAAAACTCTGTCCGATGAGCACCGTTGTTGAAGAATGAAAGAAAAAAAAAAAAGTGTTCCACTGAAATGCCAGCGTTTCTATGTACACACGGGTCACCTTCGAGATAACGCGACTCTAACGTGCAACGTTGTTTTAATGCGATTTTAATTATTCTATTTGTCAACGATGAGCTCGCTGTCCGTGCTTATCGCTCGATTCCACGCTGTAAAAAAAACACCACTTCGCGTCGGCGGCGGTCACGTGTCGTAATTATCCGGCAGGATAATTAGGAGTTTATTAGAGTCCTTGTATCGTCGCTCGATGCATCACTCGACTCGCGATGCCAATTCGTTACATGCGAACACACACGCGCAACACGCTTGTTCCGGCACCGTTGAACGTTGATCAATCTTTCGCAGAATGTCTACGCTTATTGCCGTGCAATTAACTCGGCCACCACCTGTCCGTAGCACCTGCCGCGTTTAATTGCCTCCCGCACGTGGCCCTTCTGATAACGTATATTCGACAGTCTTCCAACAACGTCCCGCGACTTGTTTTGTTATCTCGACGGTACGCCGGCAAACCCAGCCTATACAAGTTTTTCTAATCTTCGCCGTAGGACGACTGTTGCTCCGAAACACAACAAGCAATATAATCGCGTAGAGGTTATACGATTCTCTCACTTATTCCACTGAATCACCGTGTCCGATAATTTCACCGTAGAAAGTGTCCACAGAACAGAGTAACAGTCAAGTGTACAAGTGCGTGTGTCCGCGTCCACGTGCCGACTGAACGAGTCGGCGCACGCACCTCTACGCTCTGATTCCCTGATCACTCTCGCAGCACACACTGGCTGATCACCGACGTATCACAAACTTCCTCCACTTGCGAGCTTCTTCCTGCTGGACACCACCTTCTTCACCAGACGTCCCACTGGACCAGGTCGGCCGTGTTCGTCCTCTGAATGAAATTGTCTACGAATCCCTTCGGAAACACTGTTGGTCGAGATGGTCGCGTCCTCTTAGCGGATACGGAGCGATATGATCGAAGAGGATCGATCGATGGTGGGCTCGTTACTGCCTGTGTCGGACCCTCGACGATCCTCGGTGGTGGTGTGCCTCGTGTCGGGTGGCAGCGTGGTGTGCACGTTGCGCGGTCGAAGCTCGGCGCGAAAACTTGGACCTGAATGCTGACGGTCCGCAGTCTGGCTGCGTAGTGGCCCCGCTGTTCAACCGAGGGAAGGCAAACCCGCCGTGGCTTCTCTCCCGCCTAGCTGGCAACCAATGCTCGTTTCAAGTGGAAGGGGTATCGTAGGCGGTACTGGGGGCGGTCCCGATGCGCGGAGGTGGTCCGCGAGTTACTCGCGGGATCCCGTTGTTATGATTGTTATGAGTGTCCGAGCTGCCTCCTGCGAGGTGCCTTTGGGGGTGGAACGCGGACGCGCGAGAGGCACCCTTTTCTGTCTCCCTTTTTCCATCCTGCTCGTAACCCTCCCTTTCTCTCTCTTGCTCTGTAATATAACCACCACGAGCTCGAACGAGCTCGTAACCGTGATGCAAATCAGCCTGACGGGGCTGAAGAGTACTTGGCCAGGGTAGCCCGGGAGGAGCGATTGCCGCGAAGGACCGATCTCGCGGATCTTCCTCGAGGAAACTCCACGAGAACCGGGCACACGCTTTTAACGATGTGATTTTAAGGGCTGATCGAAAGATCGGAGACACCCTTTCGAGGGCTCCGTAACTGCGGCCGACTTCTGGCACGAAGAATCGGTAAGCAGGGGGTTGATGCACCTCGATCCTCCTGCACCGTTCCTCCACTGCTTGCCGATCGTTTTTCTTCCTGATTCCGAATGGCTGGATTCCTCGGGGATGGGTCAGTTGGTGGTTCTTCGCTGAAAATGGAATAAGTTTGAATGGTTAAGATAGAGCGAGTTCTCGGGGGTGAGTTTGAATTCTATGTGTGTTTTAAGGGATTAAGGGCTAGTTTAGCGTGCTCCTTTTCTAGGGAATCGTGAATTATCGTCTAACTCATAGTATCATACATTTTTTGTATATAAATTAATTACAACAATAAAAATAAATTGTATTCAAATGAAAAGTGTCCTCTTTTTTTAATTTCTATCATCCTTAAACTCAACTTCCCCCAAATTACCAAACTGATCCACATTCCTTAAGCATACATCCTATCAATTGCAAGTCACAGAATGCACTCCAATTATCTATACGGCCGGTCAGCCTGGTAGGCCTCACGGTCATTAATTTTGATAAATCGTCGTACACAGAAGTCGGAGTTCGTCGACGTTGATCCACTGTCTCATTTATCTTCAGGGGCGCGATGAACCCCTGGCTGGTAATTGCAAAGCTACCAGCCGATAGCCAGCCATTTTCGTTTCATTCTGTCGACGAATTCGATCGAAAGGATGACAATGTGTTCATCGGATGTGCAAGACGAATGTCGTTAACGTGATTTCTTCATTTTGCGAAGAAAATTTCTAGTATGTACATTTAAATTATATTTACAATTATATAAAAACTCGGTTAATTTATGAAAATAATTGTACGACAAGGAACTAATGAACTATGTATTTTCGAATTACCATGTTCAATCAGCCGCGCATGAAGATGTTCTGAAAGGCAGAATTTCGCATGAATATAAGTACGTGTTTCGTTACTACGCAGCCAGTCTTTATTAAGTCCAAATTTTACCCCTTTTGAACGACGAGCTACCCTCGTCGGCGCCACTATTACTGTCCGCACCCTCGGTGTTTTAATGTTCTCCCCTCAATTTCTCCGACATCGACCTCGACAATATTCTGTCGTGATTCGACCCTAAGAGGCGCGTCCTTAGCTACAAATACATTCGATTCGACTGAAATAAACCGCTCCAAGACGAAGGTTCCTTACACTTTTACTCTTATCTTCTAACGTGCACGTCATACCAGCTGACAGGAAATTGTTACATTTATTTATGGACTGTTATAGACCTTCTTTAGCAACGTTGTTATTGATCGTGCAACACGTGAAGCCATTGATTAGATTTGTCGGGTTTAGAGGGGAATGTTTCAAGTCGGTCATTGAAAATATCTGTATAAAATGCGAAAGCCGTTCTCTTGAAATCACGTCTTCTCAAAAACCACAGTAATAATTAGAAATTTTTAATTTGGTACCCTGGGTTCTGTGTACGAGTCCGTAAAAGTCGGAAAAATGCAGGCATTAATGCCTAAGTAAATTCTGCAAGATTTTCGAAACCTACCATTTGGGTATACTAATCAATATTAAATAATAAAAAATACTGTGAATTGTTAATCACTCATCAATAGAGATCCTTCAAAATTGCCGGATAAAATAATCAAAGAAAATCTGCAAATCAGCTGAAATTTTCACCTGTTCCACCTTCACCTTGTCCAGAGACGAAAGTAGCGACAGATCTTTTCAACGAAGCACACGAGGAAATGAATGAATCCGCTCGTCCTTCTTCCTCTCGAAGGTCCACGTGCTTTTCACATATAACTCGCCCCCGTAGAGGTGTAGCCAGCTGGTGGTTGAAGTTGTAGGAGTCGGCAGGATGTGGGTCTCTACTCTCTCTCTGTTTCTCCGATATTCCTATCGTCTCTGTCGCACCATCGTCACCTTGTCCCTCGCACCGGGTTTATCCTTCTTGCACCGAGGTTCTCTGTCCGCTTTCGTCTCGCGTGCCTCTCAGTCGTCCGCTCGGCTTCCCTCACTCTCCTTTGCCGCACATGCCGACTCACCCTCTGCTCGGGGTGCTCCGTCTTTCTCCCCCGTCCCGCCGGATCGATTAAAACTACAAAGTGTTGCCTCTCCATCCGTTGCTACGCTCATTCGTGGTCGACTACATTGCTCCGGCACTCTCCTGGCGGCACTGGGTTACCAACTCTTTCCCAACTCCCACTTTCTATCTCTCTCCCTTCCTCTTTCACCCCTTTCAACCAGCCAGCCCGTTCGCTCTTGCTTCCTGCTACCTGCTACCCACTTTCTTCCTCTTTTTTCGTCCTTTTATCGCAGGATCTCCGTATTCATGGGCGTCCGCTCCGCTTCCTGATAATCTCCGCGTAAAACTTCGCCGTCCCGACGGGATTGCCTTCGCGCGCCCACGGGACTAGTGCCGTGTCCAATCGTCGAACCAACCTTCCCTCTCGCCACGAGATTCTTCTTCCAATCGAACGAATGCTAATCATCCCCCTCGCGACTTCTTCAACCACGTTTGCCTCTGTGTTTTTGTTACTTCGATACGATTTAACCGCGATTCAAAGACTTCCTCGAATCCCATCGGGCGCGATTCCGTTCCTTCACCTCGATCGCTCAATCCCAGCGAGCAACACGCGTACCTTCGAAGGATGAGACCTTTTAATTCCGAGGCAGAAACGTCTGTTCGCGTAGTAGTCAGCTACGGAAGATTAGTGGTATTGGGTGAAAGGCTGCGTGGTGAGGCGCGATTATATCCTCAGGCCCGTCCTGCTCTCTCCATCTCGCCTCGCTCGAAGTCGCAGCCACTCGGCTAATAACAGAGCCAGCGAAAACCAAGCAGTCTTTACGAGCATCTTCCCAGAAGTATAAACGCCGGCTTCATCGTCTCTTCGAGATGCCTACCACGGGGCTAATTAACGCGATCGACGATATCGCGTGATCGCGGTCGCGAGTCGTCGATCGTCGGTGTTGCTTCGACGAAAGGTCCGAAAGAAAACAGTGAGGAGAGAACGATCGTGCGACGGGTTAACGGAAGAAATTTTTGAAAGGAATACGAAAGAATGGCGGCGCAACAGTGTCTCTTTCACGTGTCAGGAGGAAACCACATGGGGTCTTTAGAGGTGCATTTAAAACAGGAACACGATGAATCGTGACGGAGTGAGAAACGCAACACTTTCTCGATTGCGTGATCGAGTCACGGGACTGTTCAGAGATGTTGAAAATTCGCATCTTACCAGAGGTATTCAGACATATTTCCCGGGTAAGGGAGAAGCGAAGGGAGAGAGAGCAGGTGGTTGATGAAGATAATACCGCGGGGATGTACGACGATGTCGTGTCCGGGCAAGGATGTTCGAAACAAAGTAATCTGAGGGAGCATCTCTTTGTATCAAGCTCCCATTGATCGATAATTTCGCGCATCATTGTTTGCTGTAATAACCGCTTCCCGATACATTCTGCGCCGCCACCCGGATAAGGGGGCCTTTTTATATTCTACCGGAAGGCCAGACAATGCTTTAATTTCCGCGAACCACGTTGTTCAGACGACTCCTTTACCCGAAACTTTTGGCAAGACGGAACTAAGAAATGCCGCGAAACCGCAGCCGTTCTATTTATTTCATTTCTCGAAACGTTGAAATTCTTGATTGATACATTTTCACACTTTTTACGTATGGAAGCATTGATTTAAAAAACATTCTAAAGAAGAAGAAATATAAAAATTTTCCTGCTTTGATTGCGCCTTTCTCACCGAGAAAATGTGACAAAACAACGATCCACGGCATCGCGACGACAGTAACCGTCCCTCTTTCTCGCCTTTTATGACTGAGTAATATACTGTCTTGTCTTCTGTCGTTGTTTATTGCACAATTTATACGCTGATAATAAAACAGATCTTTGTCCCTTCCGGCGTTTAGATTCGTTAGTGACGCTTTGCGTACCGTCCCCCCAATCCCCTCGGAACCCTAACTTGTATATACTGTATTTAAATGAAACCGCTTGGTTCTTGCGTACAAGCGTAATTAACAATTATCGTCGTCAGCTAGTCCCCAAGATTTACGGTCTTTTCATGCCGCTAGTATATCGCTTAAGGGATGTACAGTGTTGCTGCAAAGCGTTGCAAATAAGTTTACAATTTGCACGTTCTAACCGGATCTCACGCAGAGGATATACCATCTAAACGTGACGAGCTGGTGTTCCCGTGAAACGATCAACGAACTTGATATTTCACCCGCATCTTCGTGTCCCTGGAAAGATTACGCCTTGGATCCTTCGTTCCCGCCGTGATCCAGTAACAAGAAACTCTTTGCTCTTGTTTGGATCCCTTCAAAATCCACACCGAGGTCTTTGTGTTTCCGAGAACGTCATTAATTTCCTTGATGTATATATTTAAAACAGCTCCGTGTACGGACGTGCGATAAAATTTGTTGATTTACCATAACACCGAAAAAAAATGGATAATCCAGCAGAATTATCGTAGCCATAAATAAAGTCACACCTGTTCCGCGAACAGAAAGCAGCCTTCTAATAGCAAAATCGGTAATAACGATTGCGCTGAAAGCGTTCCGACTCTAGCCAGTGGTTCGATGCTTTAAACAGGTGTCAATTATTACCATCGCTAATGCACTTACATCGCGTGATTCCGTCCATTCGGAAGAGTTAATTTTGTCCATGCATCGGAACGGGTTTTTGCGATCGTTTACCGACGTTTTCTCACGGATTTCCGTGGTCATCGAGGATTGGAAAGCACCGGCAATACGCGGTCACGAATGTATCGGTCAATAGTTGCCAGCCGAGGGAAGACGAGCCAAGCCTGGTACCTTCACACCATTTCCGGACAATATTTAGCCACGTTTCCCAACCCGGTAGCCCCGATCATTAAACGTGCGTATATAGCCTCATAATATTGCAATCCGCAGCCATAATTTACGTCGTTTTATAGTTCAAACTGCAACCTACGGTAGGCAGCGCCGCTCCAGCCTTTAGAACGTGCTATTCCCGTTCAAGTTGTACTGGGTGATCATAAAGTTTGCCGACTGTTTCCCTCTACTCGCGGCTCAACCTCGACCCCCGGACACCTAAGTGTGTTCCACACACTGCTTCCTCTATTCCGAGGTTTAACGCGAGACTTTGATAGTTTAGATCGTTTTCTGCATCGCATTGTAACTTGGTTCTTATTCAAAATCCT